TGTGTGTTTGTATGGTGGATGGTGTGGAGACTAGACTAGACTTTGGTCATTTTCTTTAACTGTAGCTGAGTTTTATGTGCAGTGCTTTTTCTTTGATGTCCATTCGGTTTACATGGTGTGGTTGAGGTAGCTTTTGTAATGTCCTTCTCCAGAGCCCTGTCATTTGTGTTTGTGTAGTGTTCCTCATGTGGTCCTAACTGTCATGGGGATTCTTTTCCCTGGTCTGTATTGTTCTAGGCTGCCAGCTGTGTTCCCTTACCAGCCAGCAGTCTCTGCTCAGCATGTTTGTGTGCACGTGCGTGTGTGTGCATGTGTGTGCAAGTGGGGAGATGGACTTCACTTGGTTCGGAGAGGCCCTTCCACCTGATTGCGGACCTTTGCTACCTGGGAGTGTGTGGCACCTCTCCTGGTCCGCTGACCACTCTCACCTTGCCTTCTGTGCCTTCTAATAAGTTGTTGTTAGGAGCCTCTGAGGCGGCTCTGACTCGTGGCGACCCGTGTGCAGCAGGGTGCAGCGCTGCCTGCCCCCCCACCGTGCTCACACGCGCTGCCCCACTCAGCCTCGTTGCAGCCTCTGTTGTTGAGGGGCTTCCCTTTCTTGCTTCCCCTTCTAGTAAGTACTTCCTGATGCTTTGGGCCTTGGGGGCACAGTGACTTCCTTCTGCTGTGTCCTCAGTGGCTGCTGCCACGTAAGCCTGCTGCTGTCTGTGGCTTGTCTTCCTCCGCTGAAACATTGGGGTTTGTCGAGATGGGGGGTCTGCCCTGGTGGCGGTACAGCCGGTACCCACGGGGTTGTGTTGTGCTCTGGAGTTGCTCTGTTCATTTCCATGGGGGAACTTGGGGAGGTTAATGAACCATGCTGCCCCCTCCACCAACATCTTGCCGACCTTTAGGGACATTCATTGAAACGACATGGTGACTTCCATTCCGTGGGCCTCTTTTTAGGAAAGAAACAAGGCCATTCCAGTCCGTAATTAATCATTACACTTCGTTTTAATTAATTGGCTGCAGGCATAAAAGTGAAAATAAAGGCTAACAGCTTAATTTGAAGGGAAAACACTTTTTATACTAATTTATTGTGTAGAAGCTGAGCCAGGAATTTAACTTAAGCTATAGTATTTGTGTCACTTCTGGAAGGGAATTCCAGAAAAATACAAAAGGCAGTCTCACTATTTTGAATTATAGAATTAAAAAAAAAAACCTTTTTAAACTGCCTCATCTACTGTAAGGAGGTGAGCCTAGGAAAGGGCTTTCCTGATTCAACGGACAAAGCCTCCATTTTAGTATTTCAAAGTACGGCGAGTATTAGTTCTTTTCATATCATAGCTGTAAAAGTCACCTTTTTCTTTTTTGAGTCTGTCGTATCCTGATTGGCACTGAAGCCTACTGCTTCCTAGCTGTGTAACCTCAGACAGGTCACCTCACAGAGCCTTAGCATCCTCATCTGTAAGATGGGGGTGACGGCGTAACCGTCCAAGAGCTTTGCAGATGGATAGGAATCGACATGTAAAGCATTTAGTATCGCGTCCTAACTTCCTGTTTCTTCTCTGTGTCTGTAATTGTTTTGTGTTTTCATTTTCCTGGCGGTATGTACTCATCAAATCACTAATTGTAAGGTTCAGTGGCGGGAGAGAGCAAGCAGGCCAGGCTGGGCTCAGCAGTGCATCCGTGCTGAGCTGGGCAGGTTGGGAGGTTTAAGAAGGGTGGCAGGACAGTTTTCAGTGGTTCTGTTGTGGGGGAGCGGACCATGGCTGTCTCGGTGTAGCAATAGTCAAGGCAGCAGCTGTGTTCTTAGAACTGTAAGCTTTAGTCATTCTTTGCGGTCCCATCTGACTTGTCTACCCAGTTCTTACAACTGAGTTGTGACCACTGTCCTGTTCATCATTTTCATTTTTTGAGAGAAAAAGTATTAAGATTAAAGCATAAAAATGACATGAGAATTCTAAGTCAAGGCTTTTATCTGTCGCTAGTGACCTGGTGTGGTTTTTACTCATCGATGACATTGTTCCGCTAGAACTTGTAACTAAGTGTTTTCCAGAAAGTCATGTATAGGTCACTTTATGTACTGTCTCCTTCTGTGTGGGTCGAATCAGTCAGGCAGCACTGAGGCCGCTGTCAATCAGAGTTGCCTGTTTCATCTACATCTCGGGGGTGGTAGGGTCTGAACAGCATCTCCATTGCAGGGGCTTTCTAGTGGGAGCAGGTTTGAGCACTCATCGGTTCAGGTTGTGAGTGTTGCTTTGTTTCCTCTAACAGTGAGGATGCCTCGTGGAAAAGCAGCCCAAGCTGCGAAACCGGGTCCAGCAAAAAGGCGACTCGCGGAGCAGTTTGCAGCTGGGGAGATCGTAACGGACATGGCAAAGAAGGAGTGGAAGCTGGGACCACCGGTTGGCCAGGGCGGCTTTGGTTGTATTTATCTGGGTAAGTGTGTGACTGCTGCTTGTTAATCCAAAGATTGACATGCTTCTTCATCAAAATAGTTTCTCAGTTATGAGCTAATAGCAGGATGTTGCCAATAATTGACAGGTCCCTCAGTACTGTGATTAAACAGAAATGTACCTTTGATCCAGGAGTGGAGAGGAGAGTGTTGATTTCATCACAAAAAGATACAGTGTCATTAACAGTACCAGTGAGGTGATGGCTTTCAGTTTTTAAGATACTCTGTAGTCTCAGCCCTCTCAGACCCACATACATCTGCCACCTTTCCCCCTCCAGTCATCTGGGGTTTATTCAAACCCTGGAGTTTATCTTCTTTGGAGGCTGTCAGAGCTTTTACAGATAAGGAATTTATTTATTTATTTTTTCTTCTGACTTTAAACCTCAGCATAGTAGAATTAGGAGACTGGCCCAGAAA